AGAGAGAGAGAGAGAGAGAAATAATGACTATGGGGAAGAGAAAAGATGATAGTGTTCACTTGGTTCGTGTTTTTGAAACCTTTTGTTGTGTTATGACACATGTAGGAAGGTAGTCTACCCTCAGCAGTGTGCTGTAGAAAAGCATCTGTGTGACACCATATGGATCAAAGCCTGTAATACAACTACACATAGTGATGCACACCCGTAATCCTAGCAATTGAGAGGCTAGGCAGGAGGATCACTATGAGTTTGAGGCCTACTTGTGCTATATGGTAAGACCGTGTCTCAAAAACACCCAAAAAACAAAAAGAAAAGAAAAAGCAAAAAACTTTAATACTATACTTTCTCTCACATTTTCTCTCTACTTTTAAGATGTATGTGTTTATATGCTTTAGTACTGTTGTTTAGTTTTATCTAGGTTGTTTTGAAACATATGATTACATTGTACAGGGTATGTTGTGCTTGTAAAATATATCCAAATTGCATACAGATTAGTTTACTAATGTTTTCCCATTGGTATTTACTGTCCAGCATATGATTTTGCTACAGTTTCTTTTAAATTTGCTCTTCATATATGTTTATGTTATTTCCAGTTTGAGATTGTGATGATGAATAGCATATCTCTTGGTACACACATAAATGTTTTGTCTCTGTGTGTGTGTGTGTGTGTGTGCGTGCGTGCGCATGTATATTCACTCTTGGTAGATAACAACAAAAACCTATTTCCAAAGTAGTTCTAAGGGTTTACATACTCACCATTACTGATAGAGGAACTTTCTGCTTCATTCAGCATCATAATTGATATGATTGATCTTTTTCATTTTGGCGATTCTAGCATGTAACTAGTGGATCTCACTGCAATTTTAGATTAAAAAAACAACAGATCCAACCGGGCGTGGTGGCAGATACCTTTAATCCCAGCTCTCAGGAGGCAGAGGCAGGTAAATCTCTGTGAGTTTGAGGCAAGCCTGGTCTACATAGCGAGTTCCAGATCATCTGGGGCTACAGGAGACCCTGTCTCATAAAGACCAAAAAAAAACCAAAACCAAAACCAAAAAACAGATCCAAAGCTGGGATTTCGCTCAGTGGTATGTGTAAGGCTCTGGGCTCAAACGACACTACCACAAAACAAATACCCAAGATCCAGACCTGGGAAGGTAGGTCAGTGGGCACAAGGCCCCCTGAGTTTTATCTGTAATGCCAAATTCTCCCCTTGGAGACCTGCTTGCGCTTTCTCAGCTCCCAGGCCCATGTGGTCCTAACGCCAATGGACCAAACCAACACAGTGGGCTCTAAGTTACAGTCTGGGGAATAAGAATATTTGTTTGGGCTTGCCGACAAAGCTTATGCTATTCAGGAGAGGGTCACTTACAACCGCATGAACGCCCATAGTCTCTTTCCCCTACTACATCCCCACTGAGCTCTTGAGATCTGCCGCCACCAGTGCACTGCCAGTGCCCCTCACCAAGATGGCAACGTTCCACTGCTTCCCAGCTTCCTCCCCATCTGTCCTTACCCGCCTCCTCATACAACCGAAGCTGGCCAATTAGGTGGAAGGAGTGACTGTCTCCTCTGCCTATGGAGTCTCTTGGGGTTCAGTGCTAGTTCTCTCAGAGGACACACCTACCCAACACCATCTCTGGTGCCTCCCTTCCCCAGATACAATTGTGCACTGTCTACAAGGTCATACCTTATCTTGTTGTTGGTTTCTTTGAGACAGAGGCTTATAACTGGGCTGGTCTTGTACTTGCTATTCCATTGAGGATTACTTTACTTCCTGATCTTCCCACCTCCATCTTCTAAATACTAGAATTACAGGTGTGCACCACTATGCCTGGCCCCAGGGACATACTGTAATTTTTATTTTTATTTTTATTTTATGTGTATTAGTGTATTGGCTGCATGTAGGTAAGTGCACCTGTGTCATGCAGTGCCCTCGGAGGACAGAAGAGACCATTGGATCACCTGGAACTGGAGTTTCAGACAGTTGTTAGCTGCCATGTGAGTTCTGGGATTCGAACCTGGGTCTTCTACAAGAACAACCAGTGTTCTTAACTGCTGAGCCATCTCCCCAGCCCCTGTACTGTAAATTTTAAAGATGCAAATAGATGAAAAGTAAATAGATATAGGGGCTGGAGAGATGGCTCTGCAGTTAAGAGCACTGACTGTTCTTGTAGAGGTCCTGGGTTTGAATCCCAGCACCCTCATGGTGGCTAACAACCATCCATAGCTCCTGTTTCAGGGGATCTGACGCCCTCTTCTGTCCTCCATGGGCATTGCACTACATGGGCAATACACTCATACACATTAAAAAAAAATAGAATAAGGGACTGGAGAGATGGCTCAACAGTTAAGAGCACCAGCTGCTCTTCTGGAGGACCCAGGTTCAATTCCCAGCAACTACATGGTGGCTAAGAACTGTCCATAACTCCAGTTCCAGGGGATCCTACGCCTTCTTCTGACCTCCATGGGTACTGCATGACATGAGTGCACTTACATGCATGCAGGCAATACATTCATAAACATAAAATAAATTTTAAAATGTTAAAAAACAATAAAATAAATAGATATAAAAGATATGTCATGCAAACAGCAGTCATAAGAAACTAGAGTGGTGAAACAAAATAGACTTTAAAGCAAAAAACGTTGCTAAAGAAGAAATTTTAGGGGATGGAGAGATGGCTCAGCAGTTAAGAGCACTGACTGCTCTTGCAGAAGACCCAGGTTTGATTCCCAGCACCCACATGGCAGCTACAAACCATCCTTAACTCCAGTTCCAGGGGAATCCGAAGCCCTCTTCTGACCTCCTCAGCATTGCACGACATGGGTGCACTCACTTACATGCAAGCAATATATTCATACACATAAAATAAAAATAGTAACTAAACACTTTTTATAAGATCAGTAATATATGGCAATTATAAATATATATGTCTAATAATTAGAGACTCAAAATACATGAAGCAAAAATGCTGATGAAATTGAAGGGGAAAATAGGCAATTGAACAGTCATATCATGGAGACTTTAATTCTTACTTTCCATAATGGGTAAAACAAATAGACAGATTACAACCACAGCAAAAGCAACCAATAAAAGAACAGTCTTCCAGGTGTATATAGAACTTTCTCTAGGATAAACTATATGCCAGGCCATTGGCTAAGTCTAACTAAATTTGAAAGGATTGAAATCATGCAGAGTGTGTTTTCCGACCATAAAGGAATGAAATTAGAAGTAACAGAAGGAAATTTGGGAAGTTAAAAAATATGTGGAAACTGAGCTGGACCTGGTGGCACAGGCCTTTATTTCCAGCTAGTAGGGAGGCAGAAGGATCAGAAGTTCAAAGCCTTCCTCGGCTACAAAAGGGAGTTCCAGCCCAGCCTGGCTGCAGAGACCCTGTCTCAAATCAAAGTAAAATAAAACAAAATAATACAATGCAACACAAGTAAAATAATTGAAAGAAATGCCAGGGGCATAGTGTTTGCCTAGGATGTGTGAGACCATAGGTTCAATCCCCAGTACTGAAGAATGAAAAAGAAATTGAGAAATAGAAAAAAATTAAAATTAACACACTTTTAAATAAACAGCAGAAATTTTCCACAAAGATTAGTTGAACGAAATTGAAGATTTAACCTGTCAGAATTATGCAATGCAGATAGAAGCCTTTCTTACAGGGAAATTTATAGCAAGACTATATTATGTAAGAAGAGTGCATTTAGAAAAAAGAAAAATGTCAAATCGATAACCTACTATTCTACTTTTTGGTCTTTGTTTTTCCATTTTCCTGTGAATTGTGTGTACTTGGGTATATGTATACTGCTGTGTGTGGATGCATGTACACACATGCACTCAAGCATAAAGGCCCAAGATTGATGTCAGGAATCATCCTTCATCATACTTCCACCTTATTAATTGAGACAGGGTCTCTCAGTCACACCTGGATCTCACCCATATGCTCTTCTTATCAGCCAGCTTGCTCTGGGCCTCCCTTGTCATCTGCCTTCTGGGGCTGGAATTGCAGGCTGTGCCAGTCTGGCATTTACATGGGATCTGGGGATCCAAACTCCAGCCCTCACACTGGCATGGCAGGCATTTTACCTGCTGGGCTATCTCCCCAGCGCTAATATTCTACTTTATGATGCCAGAAAAATAGATGAATGAATTAAACCCAAAGCAAGGAAGAGGGAAGGAAAAAAAATGAAGATCAGATGGAAATTAGTGAAATAGGGACTAGGAAAACAATGGAAATAATCAACGAAATGAAAATTTGGTTATTTGAGGAAGGAAGGAAGGAAGGGAGGGAGGGAGGGAGGGAGGGAGGGACAAGCATGTTACATACAGATTGAGCCATCCTGCTAACCCTAATATAGAGCATATTTTCATATGCTAATTTTCCACCTGCATATCTTTAGTGAGCTATGTACTCAGATATTTTGCCTTTTTTTTTTTTTTTTTTTGAGACAGGGTCTCCCTGTAGCCCCATCTGGCCTGGAACTTAACCATATAGACCAGGCTGGCCTTGAACTCACAGAGATCTACCTGCCTCTGCCTCCCAAGTGCTGGGACTACAGGTGTGCGCTACCATGCCTTGCAAAAATTCTTTTTTTTAAAAAAAACATGAAATACAATTTCTCTTTTTTGATATTCCCATTATGTACATTTGTTACATCTCTTGTTATTGTCCCAGGCAGTTCTTGGATATTCTTTTCCATTTTTCCATTTTCTCATCTGTGCTTTTCAGTTTAGGAAAGGTCTCCAGATGTCATCAAGGTCACTGGTTTTCTTTGGGGTGTTCAGAGCCCTGAGGAGCCCATCAAAAGTGTCTCCTCTCCATCATGGTGCTTTGGACTCTGGCATTCCCATTTTCTTTGCTTTTCATCTCTGCTTACCTGACCCATCTGTTACTGAACATTGTCCACTTTTTTCGTTAAAGCCCTTAGCATGGTTATCACGGGCATTTGAAATAATTCCCAGACCCCTGCCATGTCTGAGTCCTGTTCTGTTACCTCCTTTATTTTTTAGGCTATTTTTTGTTTTTTTTGTTTTTTTTTTCTTTTAGCTTGTCTTTGGCTTTTTATTGAAGACTGAACATGGTGTCCTGGGTAAGAAAAATGACACAAATAGGCTTACAGTGGGAAGTTTTGCATTTTTTTGACGAGGAGTTAGGGTCTGCTTATTATTTGTTGTAGCTACAGTGTTAGTGGTCAATATTTTCTCCTGTGGCCTTGTTTTGTTTTTGGTTTTGAAATAGGATAGTCCAGACCAGCTTTCAACTCTTTATCCTCCTGCTTCAGCCTCCTAAATCTTGGGATTAGAAACCTGAGTCACAATGCTCAGCCTGCATCCTTGTTTTTTTTATCTACCCTTTGTCTTTGAGTTTCTCTAGAAACTTCCTTTTATTATCATTATTTACTTATTACTATTATTATTATTGGTGTGTGTGTGTGTGTGTGTGTGTTGTGTATCTATGTGTGTCCACATCTTTTACCTACTGAGACTTCCTGCTGGCCTTCAGTGGGGTCTGAGGATTCCTGCTCTCTGCTTTGCCACCCCATTGTGATTGGGGAGCTACTGGTGTCCTGCTGTTTGGGGCAAAGGGAAGCATTCTGTAGTGCTCCCCATTACCTCTCAGTGATAGAGTGTGTCCTGGGCTGTGACTTTTGCAGGTACTCCTCAGCTTTTTAGGAGAGTCAGGGATGCTACGGGGGCTAGAGTTGATCATAGTTCTGCCCTCAACTTTAGTTGGGCCCTGATTAAAGTGAAGTTGGTCAGGCTCTGTACAGCAAGTAGCTTTCTTTGATGGCAGACCGCTTAAGGGATACAGAGCACTCTGGCCTATTTTCACAGCTATTGTTTTCCTTCCCCTGCTGAAAGCCCAGCCTCCAAGAGTGGGACCCTAGGTGCTCTTCTCTCAGGCCAGTCCTAGCTTACTCTGCAGCAGGGGTCAGTCACTGTGTGAGTGTTCCTCCCTGGCTCCAGCGGCAGTGTCTGCTCCTGATAGACTGTTCTGTGTTTACCCATGCTTGTAGTTTTCAGGATAGCTCTTTGTGATGTCAACTCTGATGGACCAATGAAGAGCTGAACGCCTGAGCCTCCTGCCTCCGCCTTGGAAATGCTGGGACTGTAGGTGTGCGCTGCCAGGCTCTAATAATTTTTCTGAATTGACTTTTGATCCAGTACTACTGAATTCATTTATTTCTTCTAGAAGTTAATTTAATAGCTCTGTGGGACAGATTTTCTGTATGCAATTATGCCTTGCAGATAATTTCATTCCAACACAACTATTTCTTTTTGTTTGCACTGGCAAGGGCTTTGCACAGACATTGACTAGAAGGATTGCTCACAAATTCTTTTTCTTATTCCTGATCTTGCAACAGAGGTTTTCAACACTTCAGTATTTAGCAGGCTGTGAGGACTATCCTCTTTGTGTCACAACTGTTTTGCTGTCGCTCTGTATGACAGAAGCTCCAGGTGACACTTAGGCAAATGAATGTGGCTGGGTTCTAACCAGACTTTACCTATAGACACTAAAATTTCAATTTTATGTAGTGTTTATGTCGTAAATACCTTTATTTTTCAGTATCATAACATAAATCCTTCACTCATTTAAAACCAACAATGTACAGTCTTTGCAGACTGTCAAAATTGCCAGTGTCAACTGTTTGAGTTTTATTTTATGTTGCTGTGATAAAATACCCTGACAAACACAACTTTAGGGGAGAAAAGATTTATTTTGGCTCACAGTTCCAGGTTATATCCATCACAGTGGCAGAAGCTGGAGAAAGCTGTTCACATTGCATCCATAATCAGCAACGGAGAGCAAAGAATACATGCCTGAGTTCAGTTCACTTTATCCTTTTTTATGGGAGGACACACACCCAGAGAACGGCACTGCCCAGGTTTAGGCTTGGCCTTTGTCCTAGTTTGCTTCTCTATTACTGTGATAAAATTACTGATCAAAACCAACTTGGGGAAGAAAGCATTCATTTGGCTTACAGATCAGTCCATCATCACGGGAAGCCAAGGCAGGACTCAGGGTGGGAGCCTGAAGCACTGCTCACTAGCTTGGTCCTCCTGGTCTGTACTCAGCCTACTTTCTTTTTTAAAAATTATTATTTATTGTGTGTATGAATGTGTTGCCTGCAGGTATGTAAGTGCACCCATGTCATGTAATGCCAGAGGTGGACAGAAGAGGGTGTCGGATCCCCTGGAACTGGAGTTAGAAATGGTTGTTAGCCACTATGTGGGTGCTGGGATTTGAACCTGGGTCCTCTGCAAGAGCAATCAGTGCTCTTAACCACTAAGCCATCTTTCCAGCCCCTCAGCCTACTTTCTTATACAATACAGGACCACCTGCCCGGGGTGGCACTGCCCACAGTGTGTTGGGCTCTCCCACATCAATCAAGAAAATGCCTCACAGACTTGGGCACAGGCCAGTCCAATGGAGACAGTTCCTCACTTGAGGTTCCCTCCCCACAGGTGTGTCAAGTTGACAACTAACGCTATCTAGCACAGTCTTCCCACTTCAGTTTACATAAGGCAATTCCCCACAGACATATCCACAGGCCAACCTAACTAGACAGTCCCTCAATGGGACTCCCTTTCCAGATGATTTTAGATTGTGTCACATCCACAGTTAATACTGTCACACCAACTATATTTTAAGTTGTCATAGCAGGGTATTGGAAAAAGTTTTCAGTTAGCAATAATTGTGCCTCAGATAAAGCTCATTGCCTATGATATTGTCACTGTGCAAAAAGCTTCTTTCAACTTTTTAAATTTTTATTTTATGTGTATGAGTGTTATGCCTGCATGTAAGTGCACCCATGTCATGCAGTGCCTGCGGAGGTCAGAAGAGGGCATTGGATCCCTTGGAACTGGAGTTACAGATGGTTGTTAGCTGCCATGTGTGTGCTGGGATTTGAATCTGGGTCTTCTGCAAAAACATCCAGCTCTCTTAACCACTGAGCTATCTCTTCAGTCCCTCAACTTTTTTAACCATCAAAATAATCAGGACTGTGTTGGGCATGGTGGTGCACACCTTTAGTCCCAGTACTTGGGAGGCAGAAACAGGTAGATCTCTGTGAGATCAAAGCCAGCTGGGGCTACAGGGAGACCCTATCTCAATAAATAAATAAATTAGGGCTGGAAATATAACCCAAGGCTCTGGGTTCAGTCAGCACCAAGACAAAAAAAAAGACAGGGAACAGGGATGTAATTAATGGTGGAGCACTTGCTTAACATTGTATTCAGTTCCTGGTATCACCACAACAGACAAAAAATTATTTATACGAGAGAGAGAGAGAGAGAGAGAGAGAGAGAGAGAGAGAGAGAACAAGAACGAGAACGTTTGTGCTCATGTGGAGGTCAGAGGTTGATGTTGAAAGTCATCCTCTATCACTCTCCGCCATATTTATCCTGCTTCCACCCCTGGAATTACACCCCACCTTGAACATGGGTGCTGGTGATCCAAACTCAGGTCCTCCTGCTTGAGTAGGAAGCACTTGCCATTAGCACTGCCATTAGCTCCAGATAAAAAAATGTAAGAACAGACAGAAGATTGGATTTTCCTTTGCGCTGTAGTGTGGTAGCTCTTCTTGAGGCTGTACTAGTATATTTGTGCATCTAAAATGAAAGCGTGTAGGGTTTGCCCTTTCTTTTTTGTGTTTTTGTTTGTTTTTTGAAATATGGTCTCCCACTATGTAGCCCTGCCTGGCCTGGGGCTCACTATGTAGATCAGGCTGGCCTAGAACTCATAGACCTCCAACTGTGTGGCCCTCCTGGAGTGCTGGGATTAAGGGTGTGTGCCACAATGTCCAGCCTCTACCGTTTCTTTTTTATTCCAAAGTAACAAATGGTTGACGTAAAACCAAAGCTTTTCAGAAAACCTCATAAACAATAAGAGCCTTTCTCTCCTAAATCCCATTTACTGATAATTGCTTAAACTCATTTGGAATATATTGTAGAAATTATCTTTCTATGTATATTGTTTTATAATAAGAGATTAAAATCTCTATATTGATATATATTTAATCATGTACTTGATACTTTAGTCATTTTAAGTTAATGTTTTTTTTATTTTCAAGGTGCAGAAGGCAGTTGAAGAAGACAATTGTTGCTTTGGGACCATTGATACCTGGTTGTTACATAAGCTCACCAAAGGTAAAGGTGCCTGAGAGACCAACCCAGTTAAATGAAATTAGAAAAAGGATTTGCCTAAAATAGAGATTACTCCCAACACTGTTTTTTCTTTCCTTCCCATATCCCAGACATTCTGCTGTTTGGTGCACTAATAACTACACGTTTCAGTAAAGCTAGATTAATTTCTACTTTGTTATAAGAGGAGGTCTGTTTAAAAATTCTGATGGAGTTTAAAATCTAAGACCTGGGGGACAGCCCTAATTACAAGGATGCTAAAAACTGACTTCCAGAGCCAGGTGTGGTGGCACAGGCCTTTAATCTCAGCACTCGGGAGGCAGAGGCAGATGGATCTCTGAGTTCCAGGCAAGTCTGGTCTACATAGGGAGTTTCAAGACTACATAGCGAGGCTCTTTCTCAAAAGAGTGAGGGCAAAAAGGAGGAAGGGAGGGTAGGAGGGATGGCGGAGGGAGGGAGGGAGAAAAGAAAGGAAGGAAGGAAGGACTCATAGTTTATTTCAAAGAGTGAAAGAACTCCACACTAAGTGTCAGCCCACAGCTCCCCAGTGGGGAAGCAGACTCCTCAATGGATCATACTGGGATTGAGCCTTCAAGAGTGTGCTGCCCAATAAGAAGATCCTCAAATGAAATGGGAAGGGATATGCAAACCAGGAGACAGGCAGATTTTGTAACATAAAACACAGAACCATGAAAAACCAAGGCAACATGGCCCCTCCAGAACATCACAGCTCCTTAACTACTGGACTTTGTCAAAGATAGTAAAATAGGTAAATGCAAGGTGAAGAGTTCAAAAGTTTGCCAGTAAAAATGATCAGTGGCATGAAAGAGGACAGAGGCAGATGAGTTAAGCTCAGGACCTGGAGAGGATGGGCAGGAAAAGATCAGCAGAATGGATGAAGCAGCAGCAAGGACCAGAAAGTCAACCACACCGAAGAAAAATTCAGCAGGAAACTGATATTTTGAAAAACAACAAAGAGAAATGTTGGAAATGAAACAACTCAATCAATCACATAAAAAAGATAGAGGAGGCTGGGTGTGGTGGCGCACGCCTTTAATCCCAGCACTCGGGAGGCAGAGGCAGGCAGATCTCTGTGAGTTCAAGGCCAGCCTGGTCTACAAAGTGAGTTCCAGGACAGCTGGGGCTACAGGGAGACCCTGTCCCAAAAAAGACCCCCCCCCCCAAAAAAAACAAAAAAAAACCATTATGGAAAGTCATTAATAGACTTGACCAACTAGAAGAAAGAATGCCACGGGTTAGGGCGAGGTTGATGAAATACTACATTGAAGCATCAGTAAGGGGTAAATGAATAAGGGTGACTCTAATGTCCAAGAAATCTGGTATACAGTCTGGAGACCAAAGCCAGGCATGGTGGTGTGAACCTTTAATCCCAGCATTTGAGAGGTAGTTAGAAGGATCTCTGTGAGCTCAAGGCCAGCCTGGTTTATATAACGAGTTCCAGACCAGCAAGGGTTGCATAGTGAGACCGTCCCCCCAAATTCCAATCAAACAACAACAGCAACAACAACAAAAACAAATTGATCAAAAGACCAAACATAAGAATCCATGGGCCAAGTGTGGGGGCACATACCTTTAATCCCAGCACTGGGGAGACAGAGGCAGCCGGATCTCTGTGAGTTTGAGGCCAGCCTGGTCTATATAGTTCAGGCCAACTGGGGATACAAAAAAACCAAAACCAACAAACAACCCATCATCCGTTCAGTGAAATTATAGCAGAAAATTTCCCAAATGTAGAGAAAGATAGAAGAGGCAAATAGCCATTAGCAGAGAAGAACCTCTCCATGATATAGCAGGATGCCAAAACACAAAGTGACAGTACTAAAAGCTGTAAGGAGGGTCTGGAGAGATGGCTCGGTGGTTAAGAGCATGGGCTGCTTTTGCAGAGGACCTGTTTTCAGTTCCTTGCACCCACATGGTAGCTAACAACTGACCATAACTCCAGTTCCAGTGGAAACAAATGCCTTCTTCTGACCTCCATGGGCATTGTGCACATGGGTACACTTACACACTTATACACATAAGTATATTTTTTTAAAAGCTGGAAGGAGAAAATACCAACTTACCTACAAAGGCAGAAACATCAGAAGTGCATCAGATCTCCTGTTAGCACCCTGAAAAGCCAAGGAAGCATAGGATGATGTATTTCAAATCCTGAAAGTAAGTAACTGCCAACCAAGAGTGTTGTATTCAGCAATACTAGTGAGGGTGTAGAGAAAAGAGGGACAAGAGGAACCTTTATTCGCTGCTGCCAGTGGGAATGTAAACTTGTGCATTCTGTAAAAGTTGGAAAAGTAAAAATAGAATTAGCAAATAATGGTAACTATACCACTTGTGGGTGAAGGACTCTGAGTACAATGCAGAGATACTTGCTCATCCATGCTTATTGCTGTGCTATTCACAGTAGCCAAGGAATGAAACTGCCTAGATGTCCACTAACAGACGAATTGATTAAAAAACGTGTTACATGCACACAATGGAATTTTATTCAACTGTAAGAAAAGTGGAGTCATGGCATTTGCAGGAATTTGAAGGGAACTAGAAATCAGTGTGTTGAGTGAAATAAGCCAGATTCAGAAGGAAAAATACCACATTTTCCCTCATGCAGAACCTAGATTTTAAAAAAGGTGTGTGCGTCTGTGCCTGTGTATATGTCATTGAACCAGAAAGAGGGTCATGAGAGGAGAAAAAGATCTTAAGAGATGGGAAAATGAAAGAGGGTGATAGGATACACGTGATATTACATCAGAAGGGGAGACTGGGGGAAGGAAGGGAACAGCCAGGATGGGGAAAGGGGCGTGGAGGCAGGCAGTGGGGGGAGGGGCAAGTTGGAACAGAATATACACGTATATATGAAATGCCATAATGTAGTAGGAGATACCATTGCATCTCTACACCTCTTCCCTTATCTTTAAACATGGGATCCTAAAAGTTCTTTTGTAAGTTCAGGGGCTGGTGTGATGGCTAAGCTGGTAGGGGCACCTGCCCCCAAGCCTGGCAACCTGAGTTTCATCCTCAAATGCACATGATGGAGAGAACTGACTCCCAAAAATTGTCCTCTGACCTCCCCATATGTTACATGACATGCACATACACAGAAATAAATAAAAGTCCCAATCAAAAATTTTAAAGACTAAATGTTCATAAAGATTAGATGAGAAATTGCTCTGATAACGTTAATGTTGCAAACATACATTTTGGGATGAATTTGAGGATAGACAAAGGTCTAGATTCTAAACCATGGGTAGATGATTTGCACTCGTGATAATAAATGTGTTATTTCTAATGTAAATTTAGGTTCTGCATATGCCACAGATTATTCAAATGCCAGTACAACTGGATTTTTTGACCCATTTGAGGTAAAAACGTTTTAATCTTCTGTTTGAATCACCAATTTTTCTCTAAATTAGGCTGGATTCTTTTTTGGTTGGTTATAATTGATAATCTTGTATATATTTACTGCATACAACATGATGTCTTGGAATGTATGTAGAGGTATGAAACGTGTGTACATACATATTCTGATGCTGTATTTTCATGTCCAGTTGAGTTGGAGCAAGTTCATCGCCTCCATGATCTCCTTACCACTCTCCATCCTGCCTCCTGTGAAAGATACAAGGTAATGCTGCTCATCAGACACAGAAGCCAGCCGACGTGCCCTTCAGTCCTTTTGCTTCGGTGTGAAAAAGTGTTTAATGACCCACTTGAGATGCTTTTGTGTTCATTATAGAACTTTTTGGCCTATGCTAAAAGCAACTTGCTGAATTTTAGAATTACTGTGTCTAGAGCTCTAATTAACTCTTTAATCAATCTTATTTGAAGCCATAATTTTGGATCAGTGGATGAAGAGCTCTTTGGTGTGCCTATACCAGTAGTTGCCTTGGTAAGTAGAAGATACGAGGCTTTCCTTTTGTATCATAAAAACCAAATGTATAGATTTGAGTAGTTGGAACTAGCTTTAATAGAAACAAAAGGTCCTTGGCAGCATAAAATGAAAGCATGAGCTGGGTGTGGTGGCAGTGCCTTTAATCTCAGCACTTGGGAGACAGAGGCAAGTGGATTTCTGAGTTTGGGGCCAGTCTAATCTACATAGCGAGTTCCAGACCAGCTGAGACTGTCTCAAAAATTAAAAAAAGAAAAGAAAAGAAAAGATATTAGAGCATGAGGGCTGGGGATGTAGCTCAGCCTTAGGGTGTTTGCGTGGCATGCGCAAGGCCGTGGGTTCCGTCTTCAGCACTGGATTAAAACAAGCATTAATCCTGTTTATCTTTTTAAGTTAAAAGAGTTAGGTATATAACTAGAAGTACCCCTGTGTTCTGGACAGAGGACCACTGGGCCAACCAACCTTCTATCATGGAAGTGCTCTGTAACCATTGCCAACTATATTTATGTTGTTTTCTGGAAAACTGTTAAATTTTCTAAAGATACTGTGTTCTGAGTATTTCTCTTTTGTTTGATGCTGTGGTTTTAAAACCAGTAAGAGGGGGCTGGAGAGATGGCTCATCAGTTAAGAGCACTGGCTGCTCTTGCAGAGGACTGGGGTTTGGTTTACAGAACCCTCATGGCAGCTAGCAACCACCTGTAACTCCAGTTCCAGGGGATCCGATGCCCTTTTCTGGCCTCCATGGGCATTTTACGGCATGGATGCATTTACACACACATTCAGGCAGTACACTCATACACATAAAATAAAATACAATAAGGCCAGGTGTGGTGGTGCACGCTGTTAATCCTAGCACTTGGGAGGCAGAGGCAGGTGGATCTCTGTGAGTTCAAGGCCAGCCTGGTCCACCGAATGAGTTCCAGGACAGCTGGGGCTACAGGGAGACCCTGTCTCAAAAAGACCAAAAAAATAAAATAAAATAAATAAAATATTTAAAACCAGTAAGGGGCCAGTGCTTAGTTTACATTTTGTCAAAAGAGCCAAAATCAATAGGAAAGCAATAGAAACTAGAGGAGAAAGTTGTATGCACATTTTATAAAACCCTTAGCAAGCAACTATCAGTATAGGTGCTGCTGTAAAAAAATGAAATAATTGGGGCTGGAGAGATGGCTCAGTGGTTAAGAGCACTGACTGCTCTTGCAGAGGACCTGGGTTCGATTCCCAGCACTCACATGGCAGCTACGAACCATCCTTAACTCCAGTTTTGGGGGAATCCAAAGCCCTCTTCTGACCTCCATGGCATTGCATGACACAGGTGCACTCACATACATGCAGGCAATACACTCATACACATTAAATAAAAATAATAAATAAAATATTTTTAAAAATGAAATAATTGCTGTTTTGTTTTAAAAACATTTATGTGTGTGTGTTGCATTGGTATATTTTAGTGCACGGCAGGAAGAGGACATTGGATCCCCTGGAACTGGAGCTTTATATGGCTGTTAGCTGCCATTTGGGTGCTGGGAACTGAACCCAGGTCCTCTGCAAGAGCAGCCAGTGCTCTTAACCACTGAGCCATCTCTCCAGCCCCATTTTGTTGCTTTGTTTGTTGATTTTTTTTTTGAGACAGGGTCTTACTTTTAACCCTGGCTGGTCTGTAACTAACCATATAGACCTAGCTGTGGGAACTCGTAGAGATCTGCCCCTGAGCGCTGGAGTAAAGGCATGGGCCACCACTCTTGGCTGTCCAGCAATTTTTATTTGTATGATTTTTTTTTTTGAGACAGGATTTTATTGCAAGACCAGGCCTACTTCTAACGTGAAATCCTCCTGCATCAGACTCTTCAGTGCTGTGGTTATGATCATACTCCCCTATGCCTGGCCTCAGAAGGATTCTTTAGATGAGCTTTATTTATTTATTTATTTATTTATTTATTTATTTATTTATTTATT